GAACTCGTCTTCGCCGAATACGACCGGGACTCTGGTGTAACTGCAGATTGTCGCGTGGAATGCCTTGGAATCGTCTGCAGCGGTCTGGCGTGCGTTTAGGCACTCGCAAGCTTCCGTTCATTGTCGTTTGTTTAGTGCGTGAAGCTGAATTCTGCTAGGCGGGCAACACGTATCGTACATTTTCTCACCGTTTCTAAAGCTTTGATTAACCACGATCAGTCCTTAGATCTTTGAGATACTCGTCCGTTTACTGCTGATAAGGAATCTCCGTCGCTCATTGGTTAGGTTAGTTACACCGAATAACTCGCCCACTGTGTAAAAGCGAAAACATGACGTATTAATAGAGAAGGTCGCATCTTGTGTAATCAGCGCTAAACTGTGCATAAAACGATCAAATGTTTATTTTGGACGACAGGTGTTTTTCTTTCCTTTTAAAACGAGACACTTATCTATCACGGCAACTTTAAATGTACTCTCGCCAGCCCAACCTCATGTCAAGTCTTCAATTCCTCTTGGTAAAAAAAGGTTACCCATTTTCGGTCAGTTTTATTTATTTATTTTTCTTTTTTCGTGTTCACGGCTTAAAACACAGAGCAAAACGAATTTCCTTAAGTTTAAGTTTACGGCAATAGGCATTTTTCTCCACGGGTATAATGTATATTTTGTAATTATTTTTCAGCGAAGTTGCCAACACCTGAGGAAGAAAATGAATTGACTCAGTTTATTGATCCACGCAATTTATTTTGCAACTCTGTGAATATGTTTAGCCGTTAAGAATCATTAAAGCTACTAATCGTCGTTTTCCTTGAGCAAACCAGGTTCGCTCTGCAGTGCTTGGCAGTTACGTAAACAGCAGGTGGAATATTCTCGTTAAAGATGATCTTTGGAGTTCTATAAACCTTTCCGAGCTATATCACCACATTAGGGAACCGCCTTTCACACTTTTTGGATTTCGATTAGGGAGATTTCAGTAACTGCTGAATAGTTGTGTCTGTCTTTAGATGTGACCGCATCACGGTTGGCGTTTCTTAATCGATTATCGATTGAGCCAAATCACTTTTTCAAGGTCTGGCCTCTGATTTAAAAATATAAGAACTCATTTCTTTTGTTCCAGATATTTCTTTTGACAAACAATAATGTGTGTGTTGCCAGCACATTTTGCAAAAAGCGATTTATTGACGCTATAAGCAGGTGTTTCTAAAAAAAGAAAAAATATTTAGGAAGGTCAGTTCGGCGTAAAGCGGAAATCTGGGNATGTTCGTGGAACTAAAAGGGAAGAACATTTCGAACAGCCTCTCTTTTGCTCGAAAATCCGTGGGGAAGAACGCAAGGCAAGCGAATCTGCGCTCGTGCGCTCACGGACCACTCACTGTCGTTGCGTTCTTCTTTGCTGTTCCTCCCCACCGATTTTCGAACACTGTAAATAACATGTAAACTGTTCCTGCAAATACTGTAAATAGCCTGTAAATTTCTTGTGATTTGTAAATAACGAAAGAGAGACTGTTCGCAGTCTACATGGGAGGCATGAGCAGCGTGATGTAATTACCAACATTGTCAGCCTGAGTTTTCGTAGACCACTGATGTTTCGGTGCAAGATGTGATAGTGGTTTGATCGAAAGCTTAAAAAATGCAAAGGATTTCTCAGGTTGCCGTAAAAAATAGCCAGCTACTGAATTGTTCGTACAAATCTTTTCAATTTTTAAAATCTTCAAACCGCTATAAAAGTTTAAATTTAAAGAAACAACCAATGATCTCAAAACAGCTTTTTTTCTTAATTTCATCTAGGTTTTTCTTTTTCTGCCCTCCACGTAATACCACGACCGATGTTTATTTTTGTGGTTTTCACAAGGGCACGAGAGAAACCAATTTTGAACTATTTTCTCGAAAACACCTTGATCTCAAAATTTATTGCTTAACATTGGAAAAAAGGTGATTTAATAGATACGAATCATTTACTACATGTAATTTTCAAGTGAACATGTGGAGGATCATGAATGAGAACTGTGGAGAAAGATATAAAGGCATAATTGATTATTGTAGTTATGTACACAGCTTAAGAAGCTGTGGAATTAAAAAATGAAAAAAATTCAGACTTAAACAGGACTCGAGCCCATGACCTCTGCGATCCGGTATAGTGCTCTACGAACTGAGCTACCAAGCCAACTGGGAGCCTGGCTACGTTGCGAGCATATAACTGCGATGATCAATCATGTCTTCATATGTGTAATTTTGATTTGCTATATGTGATTTATGTTCAGGACAGATAGCAAGGACAAGCATTTTCTTCAATTCTCGAGAAGAATGGTTTTACTTGAAGCAATTATTTATGATAGAAATCATGTTTACATCTACTACTGGTGTTGCAAGGCTTTCTCAGATGGAATGAATAAACGATCAAATGAACCAACGAACGAACGAACGAACGAACGAACGAACGGACGGACGGACGGACGGACGGACGGGCGAACGAACTAGCGAACGGACGGACGGACGAACGAAACGAACGAATGAATGAAGCTTTTATTTCTTATTGAAAAACATTAGACTCATCCGACGTGAGTCTTAACAATCAAATCCCGAATGAAATCAAGATAGATACAATTTATAATCTACATAATCTAATATCTACAATTTAAAATCTATGATTAACAATAAGATGAATACAATTTAAAATCCACACAAGTTTACGGAGACATCTGTTTATAAACGAGTTTTTGTATCTCTCGGTTTTTTTTCTTGGGGAGTGGGAATTCGCACCCCTTTTTTTTTCTTACTATGCTTGACCGTTTTGGCGGAAACACATCTTCAAGTCGGTGGTCTTTGAAGGTAGTTATTTTGCTGTGATTTGAGTTGCTGTCTTGTCATAGGAGTGAGATTGGCATGTAGCCAAATGCTTGATTTCAATTGTAAGCGAGAAACGGTTCTGGACGGGGGTAAATTATCTGATAAAATCTAGCTAGAAACTCGCGCGATCGTCAGCGATCATTCCGTAACCAGCGTCAGGTCTTCAGATGATCGGCTATCGAAAGCTTATTCCAATTAACAATTAGATTATGAGCTCGAGGTTTCTATGAGCTAGGTGATAGTTGATGAGGCCGAATCAACTATCAATGTCCTTCTTTTAGTCTTCTCGGGAATTTAATTATCCATTTACATCTAAACTTTCTTCCAAAACTTTAGGAAAACGATAAAAACGTCGCATTTCGTAGATGATCTGCAGCCACTGCACTCTAATGGCTGATAGTATACGAGTAGCTCAGCCAATCAGATTGCAGCATTTGCCTTAGTATACTAGTAGAATTCTACTAATGATACTTAGAAAACATCCTACTCTAGAGTGGAAGATAAAAGCCGTAATTCTATTTAACAATTAAATTATTCGCTTTCGATCTCCATGAGTTGGCACCTTCAAATGTGACTGGCTAATCAGTGCCTGCATTGATTTTTTGGATCTTTGTCTTTTGTTTATTGAGTTTCAGTCCTACTGCACTGAGGTATGATGTAGGTCAGATGTTGTTTTCCTTCACCTGCCGATGTTTGTGTGACAGAAGCGCTAGATCGTTTGAAAGTCCACGTCGTCCAACGGGGACCACAAGGTCCACTGGATCTCATTTCTTTTCTGGTTTGTGACAGATTTCGTGATCCAGTCTATAGCCGCAAGAGGAACAAGAAGGGTGACAGCAGGCATCTCTGCCTCACCCTTGTCCCTAAATCAAACTTCTCCGTCAACTGTCCTTCATGAACCACTCTGCAATACAATCCCTCATAACAGTTCAGAATCACGTTTAGGAACTTCATAGGTACCCCATAATGTCAAAGCAACTTCCGTAATGTCTCCATATCTAGGCTGTCGAGAATTTCTCATAGTCGACAAATTGACAGAGGGGGAGTTCCATTCAATTGACTGTTCCACTATATTTCGTAGCTTTGTGATCTGGTAGGTACGTGACCTGCCTGGCCTGGACCCAGCTTGCTGGTCTCGCAGGCTTAGATCTATTGGTCCTCTCAACCTTTCCAAGATGACTAAGTTCAGTGCTTTCCCGGGTACGGACAGGAGTGTGATTTGAACATAGGCCAAGGTCTCCTTTCTTGGGGATCTTGATCAGGAGACCTTCCATTCTGAAGGGATCTCTTCCCCTTCTCAGATTTTCTCAAACAATCCATAAAACATCTCAGCTAGCATCTCTGGGTCTACTTTAAGTGCTGCCGCTGGAATCTCATCTATGCCTGCTGCCTTGCCATTCTTCAGCTATTTGATGGCCTTCCTGATTTCTACCTTGGTCAGTTTAAGTACAACTAAGTGCAGTCGTAACTACGCACAAAGTGGTCTTCCAAAAGAGGCGAAAAGGATAGAGGAATTGTTCCCAAACACAGCCCCAGTGGTAAAAAGTGTGAGTAAATTCTCCCCTCTCCATTTCCCCCAGACTTCTCTCCCCTTGACAGACAACGTTGTGCCAAGAAAACAAGATATTAGGACTGTATTCCTTATTGAATATCCTACCTAAGAGCGAATAAATTTATGATGACGTAATAGGCGGTTTGCATGATGACGTAATGTGGTTTTTATTCCACGAAACAGGCTGAGTGTTTCAGTTTTTGTTGTTTGTTTGTTTTTATTATCTTTCTTCTGGTTATTGAGCCATTTGTTTTACCCAATTGTGGTTTCAAAATTTAAATAATGAGAAAAGAAAATTTAGCTGTAGCCAAACAACAACATCGTGCAAGTGTGCTGTTGGTTTTATGCTAGTTATGCTGTATTTCAGAAAGACGAACATTCCAGGCAACTCGAAAGAAAACCATTCCAGGCAACATTGTCAGATGAAAGCGTTAAGCCGCACGGTGAGATCCGATGGTGGTCTGGATATTCACTGGAGGTGTGGAGAGGACTTACAAGTTTGCATTTTCGAACGGAGGCATTTGTTATTCACCTTGTCAGACGTTTTATTAAACTGTATAAAGTTCTTCTGTTCCATTTCCTTTCTCTAGATTTATGTTCAAAGCTAACGTTTTGTCATTAACTTCTCAAGCAGTGTCGGAGTTTCGTAAGCCCCTCTTTGCTGATTTTGTCTTTTCTTATCAGCTTTTTCTTCATAAAGGCTGCAGAAATGTGTGACAAACACAGGTAAAGGTAAAATCAACAACAGCACTATACCAAACACCATGCAAGCGCTTGCTGTCAGTTTGCCCAGCAGAGTCCTGGGAACTATGTCACCATAGCCAACCGTTGTCATGGTGACGAGAGCCCAGTAAAAGTTTTCTACAATACTCCCGATAGCTTCGTTGCTTTCTTCAAAGTAATACAAAAAGCTGGAAAACAGAACTACTGCCATTAAGACACACATCATCAAAGAAGACAGCGTTCTCCACGTGTCCGAAAAGGTTTTTCCAACGATTTTTAGCCCGTCGCTATAGCGACTGAGTTTAAAAACACGAAGGACTCTGCAGAGACGGACTATACGAAGAACGCTGAACGAGGTCACTTGGAGATTCATCTCTGTTCGCCAACCGTGCACTGCTAGGGTTATAAAATACGGAGCGATAGCGGCCATGTCGACTATTCCGAATAACGAAAAAACAAAACTGCATTTGCTCGGCGCGGTGAAAAGTCGTATCAGATATTCCATCAGAAAAAATATAACTATAGTCGTTTCTACCACAAACCATGTTCGTGCTGAGGAACATTGTTGTAAATTAGTCACGAACGTTCCTGTTGTCATTTGATAGCTCCCGTTGTTAATTGGTTCCGGTGATTTATGGAGTGTTGACTGATTTTTCACTAGGCTGGTTGTGTTTATTATATCTTTAGGACAGTTCAACTCCGGCATTGTCTCCAAACAAAAGGCAAAAACCGACAATAGGATAATAGTAATGGAGATTCTTCCCCAGATCTTACCCGCTAAGCTCGATCGAGGGTATTCCATCATCAGCCAACATTTAGTACGCAGATTTTTTGCACGACGGTTGCAGTGTAGGTCATCTTCGGGCGGCGCGATTTCCACAGCTAAGAGCTCATGATTCTCACTGGATGTGGATGTCTCGGGGACATCCTTAGCACTTTTTCCACCATCCGCCTCGTCTTGTTCTGTTATTCCAAAGAATTTGAGCTCCTCACTGAAGGCGTTCTTTGAAATGGTCTCAGGTCGAGCAAGGATGCCATTTGACTGATAAAAAAACAAGATGAAGTCGAATGCGGCAGGATCGCGATCCAAGCAATACTGGTCACTCACGGGATCATAGAACTCTGTTCGTCTTGCTGGGCATCCAAGCATTGTCTCTGGAAATTGCTCCAACGTCGCTTGAAACGTTTCAAATTGAAAGCCTCTTACGTTGATACGAACTCGTCTTCGCCGAATACGACCGGGACTCTGGTGTAACTGCAGATTGTCGCGTGGAATGCCTTGGAATCGTCTGCAGCGGTCTGGCGTGCGTTTAGGCACTCGCAAGCTTCCGTTCATTGTCGTTTGTTTAGTGCGTGAAGCTGAATTCTGCTAGGCGGGCAACACGTATCGTACATTTTCTCACCGTTTCTAAAGCTTTGATTAACCACGATCAGTCCTTAGATCTTTGAGATACTCGTCCGTTTACTGCTGATAAGGAATCTCCGTCGCTCATTGGTTAGGTTAGTTACACCGAATAACTCGCCCACTGTGTAAAAGCGAAAACATGACGTATTAATAGAGAAGGTCGCATCTTGTGTAATCAGCGCTAAACTGTGCATAAAACGATCAAATGTTTATTTTGGACGACAGGTGTTTTTCTTTCCTTTTAAAACGAGACACTTATCTATCACGGCAACTTTAAATGTACTCTCGCCAGCCCAACCTCATGTCAAGTCTTCAATTCCTCTTGGTAAAAAAAGGTTACCCATTTTCGGTCAGTTTTATTTATTTATTTTTCTTTTTTCGTGTTCACGGCTTAAAACACAGAGCAAAACGAATTTCCTTAAGTTTAAGTTTACGGCAATAGGCATTTTTCTCCACGGGTATAATGTATATTTTGTAATTATTTTTCAGCGAAGTTGCCAACACCTGAGGAAGAAAATGAATTGACTCAGTTTATTGATCCACGCAATTTATTTTGCAACTCTGTGAATATGTTTAGCCGTTAAGAATCATTAAAGCTACTAATCGTCGTTTTCCTTGAGCAAACCAGGTTCGCTCTGCAGTGCTTGGCAGTTACGTAAACAGCAGGTGGAATATTCTCGTTAAAGATGATCTTTGGAGTTCTATAAACCTTTCCGAGCTATATCACCACATTAGGGAACCGCCTTTCACACTTTTTGGATTTCGATTAGGGAGATTTCAGTAACTGCTGAATAGTTGTGTCTGTCTTTAGATGTGACCGCATCACGGTTGGCGTTTCTTAATCGATTATCGATTGAGCCAAATCACTTTTTCAAGGTCTGGCCTCTGATTTAAAAATATAAGAACTCATTTCTTTTGTTCCAGATATTTCTTTTGACAAACAATAATGTGTGTGTTGCCAGCACATTTTGCAAAAAGCGATTTATTGACGCTATAAGCAGGTGTTTCTAAAAAAAGAAAAAATATTTAGGAAGGTCAGTTCGGCGTAAAGCGGAAATCTGGGNCATAATTATCAATATAATAATGGCATGTTATTTCGAGAGCATTCTATTTTGTTTCGGCGAATTTTTGATGGATCATATTCGTAACTCAATATAGAGTGTGCGTTAGAAAATTGTTAATAAGCCATTCCAAGAACCTTCGCTTTTTTAATCATCGAGGAATGTTCGTGGAACTAAAAGGGAAGAACATTTCGAACAGCCTCTCTTTTGCTCGAAAATCCGTGGGGAAGAACGCAAGGCAAGCGAATCTGCGCTCGTGCGCTCACGGACCACTCACTGTCGTTGCGTTCTTCTTTGCTGTTCCTCCCCACCGATTTTCGAACACTGTAAATAACATGTAAACTGTTCCTGCAAATACTGTAAATAGCCTGTAAATTTCTTGTGATTTGTAAATAACGAAAGAGAGACTGTTCGCAGTCTACATGGGAGGCATGAGCAGCGTGATGTAATTACCAACATTGTCAGCCTGAGTTTTCGTAGACCACTGATGTTTCGGTGCAAGATGTGATAGTGGTTTGATCGAAAGCTTAAAAAATGCAAAGGATTTCTCAGGTTGCCGTAAAAAATAGCCAGCTACTGAATTGTTCGTACAAATCTTTTCAATTTTTAAAATCTTCAAACCGCTATAAAAGTTTAAATTTAAAGAAACAACCAATGATCTCAAAACAGCTTTTTTTCTTAATTTCATCTAGGTTTTTCTTTTTCTGCCCTCCACGTAATACCACGACCGATGTTTATTTTTGTGGTTTTCACAAGGGCACGAGAGAAACCAATTTTGAACTATTTTCTCGAAAACACCTTGATCTCAAAATTTATTGCTTAACATTGGAAAAAAGGTGATTTAATAGATACGAATCATTTACTACATGTAATTTTCAAGTGAACATGTGGAGGATCATGAATGAGAACTGTGGAGAAAGATATAAAGGCATAATTGATTATTGTAGTTATGTACACAGCTTAAGAAGCTGTGGAATTAAAAAATGAAAAAAATTCAGACTTAAACAGGACTCGAGCCCATGACCTCTGCGATCCGGTATAGTGCTCTACGAACTGAGCTACCAAGCCAACTGGGAGCCTGGCTACGTTGCGAGCATATAACTGCGATGATCAATCATGTCTTCATATGTGTAATTTTGATTTGCTATATGTGATTTATGTTCAGGACAGATAGCAAGGACAAGCATTTTCTTCAATTCTCGAGAAGAATGGTTTTACTTGAAGCAATTATTTATGATAGAAATCATGTTTACATCTACTACTGGTGTTGCAAGGCTTTCTCAGATGGAATGAATAAACGATCAAATGAACCAACGAACGAACGAACGAACGAACGAACGAACGGACGGACGGACGGACGGACGGACGGGCGAACGAACTAGCGAACGGACGGACGGACGAACGAAACGAACGAATGAATGAAGCTTTTATTTCTTATTGAAAAACATTAGACTCATCCGACGTGAGTCTTAACAATCAAATCCCGAATGAAATCAAGATAGATACAATTTATAATCTACATAATCTAATATCTACAATTTAAAATCTATGATTAACAATAAGATGAATACAATTTAAAATCCACACAAGTTTACGGAGACATCTGTTTATAAACGAGTTTTTGTATCTCTCGGTTTTTTTTCTTGGGGAGTGGGAATTCGCACCCCTTTTTTTTTCTTACTATGCTTGACCGTTTTGGCGGAAACACATCTTCAAGTCGGTGGTCTTTGAAGGTAGTTATTTTGCTGTGATTTGAGTTGCTGTCTTGTCATAGGAGTGAGATTGGCATGTAGCCAAATGCTTGATTTCAATTGTAAGCGAGAAACGGTTCTGGACGGGGGTAAATTATCTGATAAAATCTAGCTAGAAACTCGCGCGATCGTCAGCGATCATTCCGTAACCAGCGTCAGGTCTTCAGATGATCGGCTATCGAAAGCTTATTCCAATTAACAATTAGATTATGAGCTCGAGGTTTCTATGAGCTAGGTGATAGTTGATGAGGCCGAATCAACTATCAATGTCCTTCTTTTAGTCTTCTCGGGAATTTAATTATCCATTTACATCTAAACTTTCTTCCAAAACTTTAGGAAAACGATAAAAACGTCGCATTTCGTAGATGATCTGCAGCCACTGCACTCTAATGGCTGATAGTATACGAGTAGCTCAGCCAATCAGATTGCAGCATTTGCCTTAGTATACTAGTAGAATTCTACTAATGATACTTAGAAAACATCCTACTCTAGAGTGGAAGATAAAAGCCGTAATTCTATTTAACAATTAAATTATTCGCTTTCGATCTCCATGAGTTGGCACCTTCAAATGTGACTGGCTAATCAGTGCCTGCATTGATTTTTTGGATCTTTGTCTTTTGTTTATTGAGTTTCAGTCCTACTGCACTGAGGTATGATGTAGGTCAGATGTTGTTTTCCTTCACCTGCCGATGTTTGTGTGACAGAAGCGCTAGATCGTTTGAAAGTCCACGTCGTCCAACGGGGACCACAAGGTCCACTGGATCTCATTTCTTTTCTGGTTTGTGACAGATTTCGTGATCCAGTCTATAGCCGCAAGAGGAACAAGAAGGGTGACAGCAGGCATCTCTGCCTCACCCTTGTCCCTAAATCAAACTTCTCCGTCAACTGTCCTTCATGAACCACTCTGCAATACAATCCCTCATAACAGTTCAGAATCACGTTTAGGAACTTCATAGGTACCCCATAATGTCAAAGCAACTTCCGTAATGTCTCCATATCTAGGCTGTCGAGAATTTCTCATAGTCGACAAATTGACAGAGGGGGAGTTCCATTCAATTGACTGTTCCACTATATTTCGTAGCTTTGTGATCTGGTAGGTACGTGACCTGCCTGGCCTGGACCCAGCTTGCTGGTCTCGCAGGCTTAGATCTATTGGTCCTCTCAACCTTTCCAAGATGACTAAGTTCAGTGCTTTCCCGGGTACGGACAGGAGTGTGATTTGAACATAGGCCAAGGTCTCCTTTCTTGGGGATCTTGATCAGGAGACCTTCCATTCTGAAGGGATCTCTTCCCCTTCTCAGATTTTCTCAAACAATCCATAAAACATCTCAGCTAGCATCTCTGGGTCTACTTTAAGTGCTGCCGCTGGAATCTCATCTATGCCTGCTGCCTTGCCATTCTTCAGCTATTTGATGGCCTTCCTGATTTCTACCTTGGTCAGTTTAAGTACAACTAAGTGCAGTCGTAACTACGCACAAAGTGGTCTTCCAAAAGAGGCGAAAAGGATAGAGGAATTGTTCCCAAACACAGCCCCAGTGGTAAAAAGTGTGAGTAAATTCTCCCCTCTCCATTTCCCCCAGACTTCTCTCCCCTTGACAGACAACGTTGTGCCAAGAAAACAAGATATTAGGACTGTATTCCTTATTGAATATCCTACCTAAGAGCGAATAAATTTATGATGACGTAATAGGCGGTTTGCATGATGACGTAATGTGGTTTTTATTCCACGAAACAGGCTGAGTGTTTCAGTTTTTGTTGTTTGTTTGTTTTTATTATCTTTCTTCTGGTTATTGAGCCATTTGTTTTACCCAATTGTGGTTTCAAAATTTAAATAATGAGAAAAGAAAATTTAGCTGTAGCCAAACAACAACATCGTGCAAGTGTGCTGTTGGTTTTATGCTAGTTATGCTGTATTTCAGAAAGACGAACATTCCAGGCAACTCGAAAGAAAACCATTCCAGGCAACATTGTCAGATGAAAGCGTTAAGCCGCACGGTGAGATCCGATGGTGGTCTGGATATTCACTGGAGGTGTGGAGAGGACTTACAAGTTTGCATTTTCGAACGGAGGCATTTGTTATTCACCTTGTCAGACGTTTTATTAAACTGTATAAAGTTCTTCTGTTCCATTTCCTTTCTCTAGATTTATGTTCAAAGCTAACGTTTTGTCATTAACTTCTCAAGCAGTGTCGGAGTTTCGTAAGCCCCTCTTTGCTGATTTTGTCTTTTCTTATCAGCTTTTTCTTCATAAAGGCTGCAGAAATGTGTGACAAACACAGGTAAAGGTAAAATCAACAACAGCACTATACCAAACACCATGCAAGCGCTTGCTGTCAGTTTGCCCAGCAGAGTCCTGGGAACTATGTCACCATAGCCAACCGTTGTCATGGTGACGAGAGCCCAGTAAAAGTTTTCTACAATACTCCCGATAGCTTCGTTGCTTTCTTCAAAGTAATACAAAAAGCTGGAAAACAGAACTACTGCCATTAAGACACACATCATCAAAGAAGACAGCGTTCTCCACGTGTCCGAAAAGGTTTTTCCAACGATTTTTAGCCCGTCGCTATAGCGACTGAGCTTAAAAACACGAAGGACTCTGCAGAGACGGACTATACGAAGAACGCTGAACGAGGTCACTTGGAGATTCATCTCTGTTCGCCAACCGTGCACTGCTAGGGTTATAAAATACGGAGCGATAGCGGCCATGTCGACTATTCCGAATAACGAAAAAACAAAACTGCATTTGCTCGGCGCGGTGAAAAGTCGTATCAGATATTCCATCAGAAAAAATATAACTATAGTCGTTTCTACCACAAACCATGTTCGTGCTGAGGAACATTGTTGTAAATTAGTCACGAACGTTCCTGTTGTCATTTGATAGCTCCCGTTGTTAATTGGTTCCGGTGATTTATGGAGTGTTGACTGATTTTTCACTAGGCTGGTTGTGTTTATTATATCTTTAGGACAGTTCAACTCCGGCATTGTCTCCAAACAAAAGGCAAAAACCGACAATAGGATAATAGTAATGGAGATTCTTCCCCAGATCTTACCCGCTAAGCTCGATCGAGGGTATTCCATCATCAGCCAACATTTAGTACGCAGATTTTTTGCACGATGGTTGCAGTGTGGGTCATCTTCGGGCGGCGCGATTTCCACAGCTAAGAGCTCATGATTCTCACTGGATGTGGATGTCTCGGGGACATCCTTAGCACTTTTTCCACCATCCGCCTCGTCTTGTTCTGTTATTCCAAAGAATTTGAGCTCCTCACTGAAGGCGTTCTTTGAAATGGTCTCAGGTCGAGCAAGGATGCCATTTGACTGATAAAAAAACAAGATGAAGTCGAATGCGGCAGGATCGCGATCCAAGCAATACTGGTCACTCACGGGATCATAGAACTCTGTTCGTCTTGCTGGGCATCCAAGCATTGTCTCTGGAAATTGCTCCAACGTCGCTTGAAACGTTTCAAATTGAAAGCCTCTTACGTTGATACGAACTCGTCTTCGCCGAATACGACCGGGACTCTGGTGTAACTGCAGATTGTCGCGTGGAATGCCTTGGAATCGTCTGCAGCGGTCTGGCGTGCGTTTAGGCACTCGCAAGCTTCCGTTCATTGTCGTTTGTTTAGTGCGTGAAGCTGAATTCTGCTAGGCGGGCAACACGTATCGTACATTTTCTCACCGTTTCTAAAGCTTTGATTAACCACGATCAGTCCTTAGATCTTTGAGATACTCGTCCGTTTACTGCTGATAAGGAATCTCCGTCGCTCATTGGTTAGGTTAGTTACACCGAATAACTCGCCCACTGTGTAAAAGCGAAAACATGACGTATTAATAGAGAAGGTCGCATCTTGTGTAATCAGCGCTAAACTGTGCATAAAACGATCAAATGTTTATTTTGGACGACAGGTGTTTTTCTTTCCTTTTAAAACGAGACACTTATCTATCACGGCAACTTTAAATGTACTTTCGCCAGCCCAACCTCATGTCAAGTCTTCAATTCCTCTTGGTAAAAAAAGGTTACCCATTTTCGGTCAGTTTTATTTATTTATTTTTCTTTTTTCGTGTTCACGGCTTAAAACACAGAGCAAAACGAATTTCCTTAAGTTTAAGTTTACGGCAATAGGCATTTTTCTCCACGGGTATAATGTATATTTTGTAATTATTTTTCAGCGAAGTTGCCAACACCTGAGGAAGAAAATGAATTGACTCAGTTTATTGATCCACGCAATTTATTTTGCAACTCTGTGAATATGTTTAGCCGTTAAGAATCATTAAAGCTACTAATCGTCGTTTTCCTTGAGCAAACCAGGTTCGCTCTGCAGTGCTTGGCAGTTACGTAAACGGCAGGTGGAATATTCTCGTTAAAGATGATCTTTGGAGTTCTATAAACCTTTCCGAGCTATATCACCACATTAGGGAACCGCCTTTCACACTTTTTGGATTTCGATTAGGGAGATTTCAGTAACTGCTGAATAGTTGTGTCTGTCTTTAGATGTGACCGCATCACGGTTGGCGTTTCTTAATCGATTATCGATTGAGCCAAATCACTTTTTCAAGGTCTGGCCTCTGATTTAAAAATATAAGAACTCATTTCTTTTGTTCCAGATATTTCTTTTGACAAACAATAATGTGTGTGTTGCCAGCACATTTTGCAAAAAGCGATTTATTGACGCTATAAGCAGGTGTTTCTGAAAAAAGAAAAAATATTTAGGAAGGTCAGGTCGGCGTAAAGCGGAAATCTGGGGAAAAAAAAAGAATAAAAAATAAACCAACCTGATCATGCAAGCTATTGCGGAAATAGAATTCTTTTTGATTCATAGGAGTCAGGGGTAAGTAAACAAAATGACTGGTAAAAACGCGTTGGACACCGAGATTTTCAATCTAGGTAATAATTACTTAGGGAAGACTGTTAGCACTTTTCAACCAAAAAAATATATTAAATATATGATCCAAAATATTGGTAGCTCCTTTGAAAACTTAGATGGTGTATAGCAAAAAAAAAAAATGAACCTGTTTTGTCAGTAAGATTAGTTTTTATCTATATATGTTTTTTTTTTTTTTTAAATAAATATAGCAATATATTTACTCTTGCAGAATCATGAAGAGACACAATTGGTATTCATAAATAACAAATTAAGCTCGTGCATTAATTGACCTAGTGCCTAGTGGTTCATGACTTATTCTCTTGCTTTTTAATAGCAATATGAGTTTGATCATGGTTAGAAAACTAATAGAAAAAATAACGGTAAACTAATTTTTGCCCAAACTGAGATGACATTGCTTTGATTTATTGAAAAAATTCAAAGGCTGAAAGTTTGATTTTCAGTAAATAAATTATTCAGATCCATTCTCGACCTTGGGGCCTTTTTCTACAAGTTTCGCAGTATCAAATTAAACGAGAAATGCAGGTTACTGGTTATGTGATAAAATCGCATGTGCCGGCCTGAATTTCATGCACAGAGGCCTGTTGTAAAATATTTCGATTAGTTTTAACAACTAAAGAAAAACAAAACTAGCAAATTTAAAGCTAAAACTCCAACTAAAAGCAGCAATCTGTCTCCTATTGTGTACATATATGCTACATGTTTTGTCAATTCGTTTTCATTCCTGTTATTCCAATATATTCTAGAGATATTCTGCTTTGTAGAATATTGACGTGACGCACGACACATGTACACTCTATAGAGCCTTTTGGATTACTCAGTATAGCTATATATGTGTTTTTAATTTCTTGTTACAGATCAAGCAGCACCAGAGCTAGATTTAACTGAAGCGCTGCATTTCAGACTGTGTGCAACGCTGCGACAAATGTGTCTTTTGTTTGTGTGGCGGCCACTAGTGAACTGATGCAAGGCCTGGAACCAAGATACGGG